ATTGAATGGCGTTGTGACCTTTTACACTTTCAAATATCATTGAATGGATTCAAGAAAAATAACAGTGTATTTCAAAAAGATGAAACTATTATTTCTGGTGATCAAATACAATGTTTAACTTGGTACACTTTCATCTCTGGTTCATGCTGTATGATCTCAGCTAAAATGATACCAGGGTTGGAACCACTGCAACTAAGCAATTCTAAGGTAGCTAAAGCAAAAATCACCTAGGATAACTTCTTTTTGTAATCCCTTAGCAAGGTGCACTCTGTGGTAAGGACAGGCTTGGCCGTGACACCCCATACCTGAATAAACTGCTAACATTTGTTCTTTAAGATCACACATGAATAAACCTCACTTAGGCAAGGCACTGGAGGGGTGCTGGGCCTTGGGGTACCAAACAACAGCATGACTCAGTACCTTTTGCAGAGAAAGGAAGAGAAGGTTTTAGAAGTGAGAGAGAATGGAAACAATAGCAACTCATATTTTATTTTAAACGGAATTACAAACGGCTACTTTTCAGTTCGGGTGATTGCTCCCCTGTTAAAACATACTAAATGTAGCGAAGATATACTGAAAATAGAAAGCTGAGTAGTCAGAAAACCACAAAATGTTGTCAAACCACTTAAACAAGAAGTTGCTTCCTGAAAACCATCACAGTTTAAAAACTGACCTACAGATTTAGCAAGAATTACTTGTAAGAAGAAGAAACTGCAACTACAGCCTTTATACAGTGCCCTTCACAAATGATAAAATCTCAGAGTGCTTCACAAAGACAGGGTCAGCTGCCAATCAAGATAAGAGGAGGTGGATGAAGAGGAGATGACTACGTTCAATTGAAGAGATAAGTTTTTAAGGCAGGCTTTAAAAGACACAGTAGTTGCTGAGGGCTCAAACACTGAGAATGGTAATATTCTCAGATAGAACCTCCAGGTTCACTGATGTTTTGTCCACTTGCCTGTCAGACATTAGTCAAAGTGGGAAAAGTTGATTTTGATGTCAAATGTATACAGGTAAAACTTAACTGTACATCAGGATGACCAAGAGGGAAGGTAAAGGGAGAACCGAGGATATAGTCTTGAGTTACCCTGCAGTTGTTGATGTAAGGGAGAAGAAACCATTGGAGAGACAAAGTGAAGGCGATGAATAAGATTGGAACCGGCAGAAGAGGCAATCAATGAGGATGCAGTGATAAGCCAGCACAAGTTAAAAGCAGAAAAATACCACAGACAACATTAGTTATATTTAACACAAGAAATAACTGTATGACTCATGTGGTGAATACACAAGTGGATCAAAGTTGCTTGGTCCAGCAACATGCTCTACTGTTGCTAAGTAGGAAGTTCCTTTGAAAAATTATTCACATTCCATTAAGTCATTCCCTTGTGATCAAGGAGGAATATACATCTGTGAATTATAAGCAGCATACAGATATTATAATAAATATTAAAATTTACCCCCCCAAAAAGCAATTCTCAGGAAATGTATGAAAGCTCAATATTCTCAAGGAAAGCATCACCATGGGCAAAATGGTCCAAAAAGGCCTGTTTCTGTGTTGCACTAATGTTCTATGTAAGTTTGTATACTTAGATACACATCATGCATCAACAATATAGATATAGCATCTGCAGTGATGTGTCCTGCAGAATAATAAGTTATTTAAACCAAAAATAAAAGCTCAGAAAACGAAAATGTAAATGCCAAAGAAGTTGTAATTTATCCAAGAGTATTCAGCCTTACAATGCCTTTCATGTAAATATTATTCTGTACAACATCCCCTAAATAGGATTTAATTTTTATTTTATTTTGCTTTATTTTATTTATTCAGATTGTTTCAAGAATGTAACACTTAACTTTAATATAATTCTGTTTATATTTTAAACCCACCTGAAAACCTATTTCTTTGACCCTTCCTTCTGTCAACATCTTCAAACTCTCTCTCTACCCCCCAATCCTTGTTCTGTAAATAATAATAATCCTTGTATTTGACACAGTGCCTTATCACATCTTCGAGATGTCTCAAAGTGCTTCACAGAATACACTGTAAAATGAATTGACTATATATTTTGTGGGCAAAACATGGCAGCCAATTGCATCCAGTAGTGTTCCACACAAGCAGTCGTGGATTGAAGTGACCAATGTATTATTTTTTTTTAAAAAAAGGAATTTTTACCTCCAGAAAAGCGATCCACCAATTGACTAACAACCAGGTTCCTACTTACCCATTAGGTAAACAGAGGTATGTGGAGTAAGGAAATGTTTTGCCCTGTTGGGAATCAAATCCAGGTCCTCTCACTTGTGAGGCAAGTGCTCTAATGACTAAACTACAGGTTATGTAAATATAACTTGTTGTTTATAAATATTTTTTAAATTGCAAATAACTAGAAAAGCCAGTCTGCTTTTACTGGGACGATAAACAAGACAGTCAGTTGATTGTATATATCAGGGGCATATCTACACTCCTGCAAACCCCTTCAAATACAGGGAGCAAAACCCCATTCACAGAGATGTTACAAAAGCAGGCAAGAGAGCACAGCAACAATGATTTGAAAATAAACATATGAACATATTTTTGGTAGAGAAAGCATGAAGTTTGAAAGTTAACAATTTTCATCACTTACAATAAACACACATTTTCTACTGCAAATAGTATGTTTTAAAAAAAACAATGTTGCATTATAGGTCTTGCAGCTACACAGTTCTTACACAGAATTAATCTACAATTAGGTGCTGGATTTTGATTGTTTCATAAAGTTAAGTCATCTTTCCCAAAATCTGGGGCCTTTCTGATTAAAAAAAGATTGTTTGTATCAGCCCTTATATGTGCATATGGTGCTGTTAACTTTGTTTCATTTTAAATCTTGGATTGAAGCCATTGTCTTCAATACCCTCTGCCACAAGGAACCCTAGAAAATGTCCAGCACCCAATTTTCCTAAAGCAGCTGTGTGTGGCTTCAGTTACATTGACATTAATAATAATAATAATTTGGTCACTCAATCCATGACTGTTTGTGGGACACTGCTGTGCGCAATTGGCTGCCGTGTTTCGCCACAAAATATAAACTTTACAGTATATCCCATGAAGCACTTTGAGCCTTTCAATGATGTGATGAGGCGCTATATCAAATGCAAGGATTATTATTATTATACGTTAAAGCTTTGAAGCCATCTAAGGCAATAAAAGATAAACTCCCACATGATCACGAGCAAACTCCAGATAGCAACAAACATTTGCATCATAAGCAAGAAATACAAAACATCTTGCTAATGATCAAAGATTATGGGTTTAAGCATCACGTCATTCTCGTATCACTGCATTAGATTGCTGGAGGAGTTCAGCATTGTTGGGAGAATGAATCCTTTAAATTGAATGGTGATATTGACTACTAAGATGGACGTAAAAGAACTCATGGTACTATACCAAGTTTTTTTATTGTCAGATGGGTGTCTGACACACGTGGAAACCCATGATCATGCTTAAGAGTTTCCAAACCAAGCTGAGAATTCCATGCATCTCACCTACACCATGGAAATCCCAGAGATTGATTGTTGGAATGTGCACTCACTCCCTGGAGGGACGTGTCCTGCTTACCTAATTCCAGAAAGTATTAGGTGCAGGTTGACAAGAGACACACTTTAGGGACCCCAGAGTGTACATCGGGGTACTGCTGGAGTCTAAGTAGCTAATACCGCATTGCTTACCATTGACATTGCTGTACGGCAAACATTCCCACTGCTTGTCCAGCTCAGACTATCCTATCCGTTAGGGCTTTGGCTTGCAGGGTTAACAGGAGCTGAGTGAGATGACTCCCTGCCCCTCGTGACTGGTCTACCCTTCCAGGTCCTTGCCAATGTGCTGTCATCAGCAGCGAAGTGGAATACTGCAGACCCATCTGGCGCAGGAACCAGATTACCGAGACCGCAGGCTCAATTCCGACTATTCGAGAAGGCAGTTTCTATTGGTGTCCTGGGATAACTGGACACATCAACAGGACACAGTCCTGGTGTCTCTGTGATGAATCTTTATAAAACACTGGTTAGGCCTCAGCTGGTTAGTACCGTATTCAGTTCTGGGCACCACACTTTAGGAAGCTTGTCAAGGCATTGGAGAGGGTACAAAGGAGATTTACCAGGATGGTACCAGGAATGAGGGACTCCAGCCCCTTGGGACGTCCTCCGACATGAAAGGCGCTATATAAATGTAATGTTGTTATCAGGAGAGGCTAGAGAAGTTAGGATTATTCTTCTTGGAGCAGAGGAGTTTAAGAGGAGACTTAACAAATTATGAGGGGATTTGATAGGGTGAACAAGGAGAGCCTATTTCCACTGGTGGGTGGGTCAGTAACCTGAGGACACCGATTTAAAATAGTTGTTAAAAGAAACAGAGGTCAGGTGAGGAGATTTTTTTTTCACACAACAAGTTGTTGGGATCTGGAATGCAATGCCTGAAAGAGTGGTGGAAGCCGATTCGATAACAACTTTTAAGAGAGAAGTGGACGATTATTTGGGGAGGACAAGTTTGCAGGGCTATGGGGAGAGAGCGGGGGAGTGGGATTGATTTGGACAGCTCTTTTCAAAGAGCCTGTACAGAAGCGATGGGCCGAACGGCCTCCTTCTGTGCTGTATAATTCTACGATTGATTCTACGAACAGAGGGGTGGGAAGGAGCCGAGGACCAGTCTGCGCCTCCAAGTCCTGCTCACGGGCCAGCGCATCATCAACAACGCCTTGGGAGCACCGCTGACCTCCTGGCGCAGGTACTTAAGCCAACCGAGACCGCCACTGGGAAAAAGACTCAATTCTGCTGTCATATGGCCAGAAATTCCACGGCCACCCGGAGAGTGGAGCAAATATGATGGGAATAAGCTTCGATGTCAGTCACACTGGTGAAATAAAACAAGAGCAATCCGTGTGAAGAGCTTTGCCAACGTGAAGCAGAGTTGGGGGGGGCTCTCGTTTGCCAGTTCGGAGACTACTTTCTTCCACCCAGGAAACACATACCTTGTCGGTGACATAAGATACGGAAGTTCAGTGGTGGCGAAACTCTCCATTTAAGCCTCCAGTTCGGTTGTCGGGTGGGGAGTGGGGGGGGGAGTGGGGACGGAACTGGCCCGCGGGAGAAAGTCATTAGCTTTGCAAGAGAACCACCGACTGAAGTTACTGCCGAGAGTGTTTCAGCGTTGACTGGAACAACCGCGCGGACGATTGATATTTATAGTCGGGCACGGGGCGGAGGGGGAGGGCGCGCACGGGGCAGCCCAACGGTTTGGAACGCCGACCCGTTCAAACAGCGTCAAACATTCCATCCCAACCACCACCATTCCCTTTTAAGGCGAAGAGAATGCCCTGACGTCACCCGCCATCGGGAAAAGACGGAGCGCCGCAACCAAAGCAGTCAGCGCCGCTGAGGGGGCGGGGTCGGCAAACAGACCCCACCCCCTCCCCGGCCTTGACTGACGTCCGGAGTGACAACTCACGAGAGCACTCCCGCCCGCCTCGGCCCGCCATTGGCCGCCAAGTGAACGGTGGGCGGGTGAATGGTGGCGCTGCGTCAGGTTCGGTGGTGCGCGGAGGGGCGGGATGTGCGGTTCTGCATTCTCCCCGCGGCTTCCTGGGGGATTGGAGAAGAGAGAGTGGGGAAAAAAAACTGGGAGTGTTCGCCGGGACCCGGAGAGTTGAGCGCAGTGGAGAAGTCCGCTTCTTGAGAGGCCTCAGAATAAAACAGACCTTTTTTTTTCCCCATTCCCCCCCCCTCACCCCACCGCCCCCCCCACACACACACCTTTGTCGTGTATTCAGTAGCCGTCTCCTTTCCGAAGGGAATAGGTCACACACGCACCGCCACAATGCCTGTGTTTCATACCAAGACGATAGAAAGTATTCTGGAGCCGGTGGCTCAACAGATTTCTCATCTGGTGATTATGCACGAAGAGGGCGAAGTGGACGGGAAGGCAATCCCCGACCTGACCGGCCCCGTGGCCGCCGTCCAAGCCGCCGTCAGTAACCTGGTCCGGGTGAGTACACGAGCCGTCCCGAGTCCCGCCCGTCTCTTGCGGGTCCCGGTGTCCGCGGCCAACTCTGAAGGCAATGCGGTAACAAAGGGAGCGCAAGAGGTGGCAGCGAAACCACCCGCCCGGTGCTCTGGTTACCCCCTTCGCCCACTTGCTCTTTATACACCGCTTCGTCCCGGGCTCAGGAAGTTCGTCAACACGATTCTGCATTGTTTCTGCCCCCCCCCTCCCACCACCGCTGCCCCCCCTCCCTCCCCCCAAAAAAAAATGTTGCTAAAATTTGGTTCAGTCAAACTTCACCGTTTCGGTCCATTCTGCTTTGTGGGATGTGTGACTCACTCTCACACTCACTCTCACACTCGCACTCAAAGTCCAGTGTGTGTATTGCACCTTTCAGACACTCAGTGTCCAGTGATCTGTATGCGGCGATGTCAAGCCGCCTGTGTTGGGAAGGGGAGAGGAGGGAGAGGAGAGGAGGCGATGCAGCATCGTTGCCAGTGATGTGCGATGCATATTGATGCAGCTTTCGTGTTGCATTCTGCCTTTTGGGCAAAACCCGATGAGTATTTGTGAAACGCTTTTGTTTCCTCTTCGCCAAACGGTCGGTTGAGCTCGGGGTCCAGACGCCGCCCGCAGGTTGGCAACTGCAGAAATGTGAAACTTAATAACACTTTTGGGTTTTTCTTCTTCCCCCTTTTTGTCCGTTATGCAGTGCGTCTCGTTTGAAAAACGAACTCTCTGTGACTGTTGAATCATTCAAACTTTCCCTGCACCCCCCCCCACCCCCCCACCCCTCACCCCCCCCCCCCCCCCACCCCCCCCCCCCCCCCCCCACACACACACACCCCAACAAAATCAAGTGGTTCGAGCCTACCTTTTTGTCAGGGCGGATTCAATGACAGATACAGGAAGACTGGGGGTTGGCAAAGCTCAACAGGCACTGGGTACGAGCGTTGTGGATATCAATGATATAAAAGTGAAACTTGTCGAACCCTTTGCATAAATGTTACAATGCAAAATCGACTTTTGCTGCAACTTAACTATCCGGAGGAGCTCTTCATCCCCCCCCCCCCCCCCACCACCACCACAGGCACTACTAAAATTACCATTTCAACACTTGAAAGAGCAGTGCAGCTGCGACTTCTCAGTTTGAAGTACTATGATATTAGGCAAATGAAGCTGTCAGGAAACGTGTCGACTTTGCGATTTTGTTTTAATTCCACGCATGTTACACTTGATATTTGCACATGAAAATAAAGACATTTGGCCTCACATTGTGGAGTTGCAAAAACTTACCGAAAGCCTTTTTAAAACGTTGTGGTTGACTCGTTGGTTTCATTGTGATGATCTCGTTTTCTTAGCTTATTATGGATCAGATAGATGAGCGTATAGAAGAAAAGTGTAGCGTTGAAATATTTGCATATTTTACGTTTTTTTTAATGTTTTTCAGTAAGCATATAAAGAATTTAAGTGTTCCAGATGTTTATGGTGGTGGATTGTCTGTGGCATTTGTTCCTCCATTTGTCTCAGGGACTATTATCTGATCACTTGGCATGGTGATGTCAATTTTAAATTGAATTGTAGAATTATTGACATCAGTAATGGGACTAATTTATTCTTGGATTTTGATGACATCACAAACTCCAAAAGCAAATAACTCTGAAATTAAATTACTACAGTCTGCTCTTGCTACATGGAGGGGGGGAAGCTTGGCGTAAACTTGCCTTGTATTCAGGCAGAGCCTCTGCAGCTCTGATTTAGCAGTGGAAAATGTGAAGAAGAGTATTTTTTAAAAAAGTTGAAGATTTCAGCCACATGCAGAATATACACTGTTCCTACCTGTGCCCTATTGTCATCACAAATACATATACACAGTGATGTTATATATTCCAGATGATGGCATAGGTTCCACTTGTGTAGAACAAATCCTGAGAAACTATCCAGATTTTTTTTAATATTGAATATAAAAGCTGGGGTATAGAGTCTCCTGAGCTTGGGGCAGAGTACTGGGAGCTAACTGGTGTATATCCAACCTGGAATACTTGTCTATGACAGTGGGTGCCTAAAATAGGACCATTTTATAGCACTAAAAATCCTTCATTGTGCTAAGCACATTTTTTCCTAAAAAATTATCCAAAGAAGATTTTATGCTTTGCACTGCCTGAAGTGATTGCAATGTTTTCCATGGTATTTCATTCTGTTCAGTTGTGAACATTTGACCTTTTGGGTATGACTATCACTACTGTTACTTTTTCCATACTATGAAAGCATTGTCATCAGAAAGATCACATTCATTTTTTTGTGTTCATGTGTGTCCGTGGCTTTTATTGAATAGCTTTGCATAGAAATGAGGCATTTGAAAGCCTTGTATAAAAGGGCATCTTGGCATACTCATTATTGCTATGTTCCAATATGTGCAATGAAATTAAGTAATTATAGAACTGGATGTTATTTATCAGTATTATACTGACTTAAGTTTTCATTTGCAGTATCATATCTTTTTCAAACAATTACATTTTCCAAATTAAAGTAGATAAATTGCAGAAAATCTTTCATTAACACATAAGATTACAGAACATGTATTGAGTTTTAAAACCTGTCAGGGTTTTCTACAAGTTAATCCTTTGTTCACATTGAACTTGTATTACAACAGTTTTTTTTTTTAAAAAATGGATTGAATAATAGCTGAGAGTGCTGGCTAGAGTTTTAGAACATTTCTCCAGGTCAGTCTTTTTAATGTTTAGCGTTGGAATTAGCCTTTCGGTATGCTTTTCCATACTGAAAGGCTTTCCATACATTTGAACGTCTCAAAGCACTTCACAAAATGACTGTGTACTAGTTGGTAAATGAGGCAGCCAATTTTCACACATCAGTGTGCCACAAACAGGCATGAAGTAAATGACCAATTTTCTCTTACCAGGACATGGTAAGATTTCAGCCACATGCAGAATATACACTGTTCCTACCTGTGTTTTTTCAAATCATGTCATGGGATTTTTATTATATACCTGAACAGGCAATGCGGACCTCAGTTTAATGTCTCATCTGAAGGATGGCACCTCTGACGATGCAATGTCCCCCCCCCCCAACCCCAGCACTGCACTGGAGTGTCATCCTCCAAGCTCTAAGACCTGCTGTAGATTTGAGCCCAATATCTTTTGAGCTCCTGCATTGAAGCACTGTGTGGTGTCTTTCTCAAAATTCTCAACCATTTGTGATGATTTGCCTTTTTTTCCTCCGTCAGTGACATTGAGGTGAATTGTAGCATGGCTTCGCTTCCTCAGATGAGTCAACTAACACATCATTGAAAAGAATCAGATCAAATTTTGGATCTGGCTCTGTGCAGTACATTTACCTCGAAATATTGGAGGAGATAGTGAACCCTTTATTATATTTAGAAGATGTTACCTTGCACAAAGCCAGCTAAAAGGTTTTGAATCAAGAAGTGCAAGAATGAACAATGTTCCTTGCTATGCCCTACCAGATATGTTGGGGATAAGCCCACAGAAAATCTTTTTGCCTGTAAAAAGTGCAATTGATCCATGGAATGAATAACATTGCTGCTATTTCTATGTCTAAAAAGAAGAAATTGTACTGGGAGATCGTTGATCAGTGATAACTGTTTGTTTAATGGCAAAGATTAAAGCAAGGCACTGCCGAGTGATGAAATATTCCAGTGTATCTTTGTTTGGGTGTAGATTAATTATCTACATTGGATTAATTATTTACAAAGCTAGTTTTGTAGAGCAATTTAGAAGGGTTTGCTTTTTTTTAAATGGAGAGGAGAAGGTTCCTTGCTTTGGGCTTGTGCTTCCATCATTAAAGAAAATTGATGGCGAAGTAATTTTTAAAATTCAGGTCTTTTGAAGTCTTGCTAGAGGATAATAATAAGTGCTGGTAGACTTTTGCTATGTTCTGCTTTTTCCTTTCTGTGTAGTTTTGTGTGCATTGTCAGTTATGAAGTTAGAAGCTGTGTGGTGAAATGGTTGGGGGTGGGAAACGGAGGGAAGTTGTAAACTAGGATTTCCTGCAAGAGATAACATGGGACAGTCATTTTTATTTTGCTCATGCACAATTTTAACAGTGAGGGTGGGAGCATGGTGATGAGGTTCGGCATATCTCAGATACCCAGCTGACCAAAAAAGCCAGCAATGATGAAGAATTAGCTGATTAGCTCAGAAAATACCATCTATGTACTTTTTTCATATTAATGGTGACATTTTGTACTTGCAATGTGTTGCAGTAAGATTGAAAATAAATGTATCCAGTTTAATGTATGTTAAACTAATTTATATAAAAATCCAAATCACGTTTTAAAAGAGTGAGGGTGAAGGAGTACAAGAATGTAACATTTTTTTTAGCAAACTTTAACGAACTTCCATCATTTCAAATTAAAAATTCATGAAGAAATCACACTGAAATAGTTTAAAATCTGTACTTATTTGTCCTAATAACAGACAATCCTTTCAAATGAGAAATAAGAGAAATGAGTGATACCAGCTTGTGATGAAATACTAGTAATAGATCAATTAGGAGAAGTGAATCTGATTCTTGGTGAAAATTGTGGATGAGATTCATAAAAAGAAATTCCTCTTTCATAGCCTTTGGCCAAGTACTGTGTTGGTTTCAATGTGGTTCTCAGTTGATAGAATTCTCACTTCTGTGTCAGAATGATGTGTATTCACAGCCGATGTTGGGACTTTAAACACATATCGTCTTGACTGACATTCCAGTACAGCTGAAGCTATTGCATTTTGGACGTGCAGTCCTTTTGATGAGACGGTAAACCAAGGGCCTGACTGCCTGTTCAGGTGCAGTTAAAGATCCCATCGTGCTATTTGAAAGAAGAGAATTTCTCCGGTATCTTGGTCAACAATTCCCAAGTTAAATAGGTCATTCACTTCATGGCTGTTCATGGGACATTGGTGTGTGCAAATTGTCTGCCATGTTTCACCGACAAAAAATAGTCACTGCAACTTGCAGTAAATCCTGCCAAGTGCTTG